CACACACACACACACACACACACACACACACACACTATACACATACACACAAATCGATGTCTAAAATATAAAGGAAATAAAAAAGAAGTAGAGCGCGTTCGAGCCGTGCTAATGTAAAACAATTCAGGAATGCCGTTTCTGGGATGTTTCCTGGAGTGTGTGCTGAGGAGTAAGTTTCAGGTGGCAAAGCAGAACTGGAAACTGGTTAGCATGAAGCCTAAGGGCCCCATTCATGGATGAGCACCCCACAAACACTTATCCTTTGCACTTTGACCGGTTGTTTCTTCATTCACATACAAAGGACCTTCTCTGGTGAGGCCTGAGAGCTAGACTAAACCTATGAGTAGAAAATACAAATTTAGAAGCTGTCTGATACGATGTCCATTTAGCAGAATAACGGGACTAGACTCACTTCCTGCCCCTAAAACTCAGGGGCCATCTCAGGAGATGGGGGCAGAACAATTTTAAGAGCTAAAGGTCAGGGAAATCCAGAGCATAGCAGCGACTTCTGAACACAAGATTCCTGAACTCATGAACTCTCAGCAGCTGTGTTGGCAAAGGATGGAGCTGGTCAACACTCCAGGAGGTGGCAGAGCCTCAGGGGCCCCCGCCTCTAGCTGAAACTATTGAGAGTCCATGGATTCTTGGAGTGGAAAAGTCCGATTTCTCTAAAGGTGTGACCCCTGTCAAGTCAACCGTGACAGTGATAGTCCCATACCTTCGAGTACATAGACAGCACAAACTGGACTCAGTAGGTTACTAAGAAAAACGAAATTGTCATGGGGTAGGGTAGTGGGTGATAGGTAGATCTGGGAGGAGTTAGGGAAATGGGGAGTGAATATATATCAAAATATAGTTTGTGTGTATGAAATAATCAAAGAATTACAAAAACACCACATTTTTAAAATAGTGAGAATCAAATATATGTTATGTTATTTTAGTAACCAAGATTCAAAGATGGGTGGCGCATGCCTTTAATCCCAGCACCCAGAAGGCAGAGGCAGGCGGATCTCTCTGTGAGCTGGAAGTCTATGTGCTCTATAAATGAAGTTCAGGCTAGCTAGGGCAACACACTGAAACCCTGTTTCAAAACACAATGCAAAATAAAAGTAAAAACCACCAAGGTGGGGTTGGAAAGATCACTTGGCTGCTGCAGACTATGTTGGCTCCTCATGGGAGCCCTTTTCTGTGAGTAGTAGACTGGGGTGGGCTGGGGGAGGTGGAGGCAGGGTGAGGGGAGGGGAAGGGTGGGAGGGGGAACTGTGATTGGAATGTAAAATGAAATAAAAAAATTTAATGGAAAAAAAAAGCACTGGCTGCTTTTCCAAAGGACCCAAATGTGTTTCCCAGCATCCACAGAGCAGTCACATCTGTACACCCAGTTGCAGGGAATCCGATACTTTCTTCTGGCCTCCCTGTGGACCAGGCATGCACAGGGTGCACAAATACACATGCAGACAACATACTCTGACACATAAAAATTAAAAACCAAGCAACAAAGAACCTGGGGAACTTAGTGAGTGAATCATACGGAGATGTTACGTGGCCTGAGAGTGTAGAAATAATCCTCTTATTACATAGCAATTTCCTCTCTCCGGGAAGGAGGGAAGAGGCTCTCAAGACTCTGGAAGCAAAGAAACCACGGGTCTGGGAAAGCTGGAACTGAACTAACTTCGCCAGGGCTCCTCCCCCAAAGGATACAGCAACACTCACTACCAGAGGGAAAGGCTCTGACCCACACTGTCCATGTCCTGCTGCCTGCAAGTCCTGCCTAGAGTTCCCAGGCTTCAGCTTTCTGGCATCTTTGACCGATACTGGTGTGTTTCTCCCAGTGACACAGCTGCCTCTGGGTCATCCCTGCTCCTGTAAGTAACCCAGGAAAAGGTCAGAGGTTCACCAAGCTCTGCTTGCATAGACTTGTTACTTTGGTCTGTCGTGCAATCCCTATTTGGAGTGAGTCAAGTCAGGAAGGGCTTGCCTCAGACAGAACAATGGGCTTTAAGGAGAAAACAGTGTTCCTGATAAAAACGACTCTTCCCATGGAGAGCTCAGCGGCACATGCCTAAAACCCCAGCTGTGTCCAGGGCTGAGACAAAAGGATCACTTGATCCCAGGAGTCCCATTCAGCCCGGGGAACATAGATTCCATCTCAAAACAATAAATAAAAACTAAATGGGTTGGGGATGTGGTTCAGTTGGTGTAATGCTTGCCTAGCACGAAAGAAGCCTGGGTTCAAACCCCACCACTACATGAAATTGGACATGGTGGTGCTGAATGTAATCAGAGCACTTAGGAGGTAAAGGTGGTAGGAATTACAACTTCAGATTCCCCAAAATTAACTAAAAATGAAAATTGGGAGGGCCAAAGAGATGGCTCAGTGGTTGGGTACTTGCTGCTACTCTAAAGGACCTAAGTTTGGTTCACAGAATCCATGTACAGTGGCTCACAGCAGCTTGTCCAGCTCCAGAGGCTCCAATTAGTTCTTCCAGCCTCTTTGGGTGACATACACACATGTACACATAAATAGAACTTAAAAAATCTTTTAATTTAATAAATAAAAACAAGGTGGCTGGAGAGATGGCTCAGCTGTTAAGAGCACTGACTGTTCTTCCAGAGGTCCTGAGTTCAATTCCCGGCAACCACATGGTGGCTCACAACCACATTGAATGAGATCTGGTGCCCTCTGCTGGCATGCAGGCATAAGGCTGTATACACAATAAATAAATAAATACAAAAATTTAATTTTTTTCAAAATAGGTTTGCTGCACTAAGAGGCCAAAAGAGGCATTGGATAACCTAGAGCTGGGGTCACAGGTGGCATTGAACCACCAGATGTGGGTACTGGGAAGGGAACTCAGGTCCTTTGCAAGAGCAGTTATCGACCTCAACTCCTGACCCATTGGTCCAGGTGCCCCTTTCCTTTCGAGACGTGGTTTCATATCATCTAGGCTGGCCTCAAAGTCTCTATGTAGCTGAGGATGACCTGACCCTCTGCCTTCCCACATTCACCTCCCCTGTGCTAGGAACTTTGGGTGTCTGCTACCATATCTCTTTTACAAACGTACTGAGGATGCAACCCAGGGCTTCCTGCATGCTAGGTGGGCTCTCCTCCAACTGAGCTACAACCTCAGCAGGAGATGGATTTCCTCTTGATGCTGTTCAGTAGAAGACCAGCACACAAACTGGCTGTAGAATTTTTTTTTAATGGGGGAAGGAAATGCAGGGACGGAGACGTTAGATTTATTTTTACCACCCAAGTTTTTACTAACAGTTTAGATTTTCTCAACAGCTTCAAAATTTTAATGGCTGCAATATAGATAAAAGAGGGAGAGCGTACGTGTGAGCCAGGCACCCTGGTACACAGCAGTAATCCGTGCACTCTGGAAGCTGAAGGAGGAAAACCCTAAGTTTGACGCTAGCCTAGGCTGCACGGTCAGCTGGAGGCCACAGCTTGGGCTGTGGTGAGACACTGTCTCAAAGGTAAATTTTAAAGAACTTTAAAAGCCCACGTGAATGCCAACTGTTAGCTCCCACGATCAAATAGAAGCCCTGATTGTAAAAAGGTTAAGATCAGACCTTAGAAATCCTGATCCCCCCATTTTTAAGAACAGACTCCCCGTTCCCTAGAACTCATTCTGTGCGTCAGGCTGCCCTCCACCCCTCAGCCTCTTCCTGTCTCAGCCTCCCCAGCGTTGGAATCCCAGAGGGGATCCACCACCCCTGCTGAACCTATGACGTCACCTTTCCTTCTATGCCACATCCTTCCCTGCCCTCCCCTGTCCAAGGCCCCTCCCCACATCCTAGAGTAATCCATTTAATGAGTCTTGCCGGCTGTCAATGGCGGTCCGTATATGGTCTTTACCCTCACCTATTAAACGAATCCGGTCATGGTGGTGAAAGGGAAGGAGGTAGGAGGGTAGAGAGCTCAAGGTCACCCTCTGTGACACAGAAAAGTTCAAGACCATCCTGGTCCACGGGAAACTCTGTCTCAAAAATACATTTTTTAAAAAAGGAATCAATCGGAAGGGGGAGGAGGAAGAAGAGGCGGCGGCGGCAAAACCACCATGGGCCCCTTCATTCAGTCTTCAAGCATTTACAAACACATCTCACGTGAGCGGCTCCGGACCTGACTCCCCGCCCGCCCCGCCCCCTCGCACCCCTCTCCGACACCCCAGAAGAGGTAACGTTGGAGCAGGTGGAGGATGCAATCGGAGTTTTCATGGTAGATTCACCCAACAGGGTGAGACCTGGCCTAACCACCCAGCCCACCGCCCAGACCCTGGCTCTGAAAATAAGCTTTTTCAGTAACGCCCCTTCCAACGCCCCGCCCTAGTCTGATCCCGCCTACCCTTGCGCTGGGACACGCCCCTCCATTAGCCCCTCCTCCATTTCATTCAGACCCTGGCCTCCAGTCCCACCGCCCAGGACGACAAACTCATTCCCAGTCTCATGGCTCCATTGGTCAAATACCACAAAGAGCCCACCCTCCATCGGCCTCATTGGCCGGCTGGATGTCAATCTCCTGCATAGCCCACCCCCTCCCATCTCAACAGTTGCCAGGACTGAGGTTTGAGGGGCAGATAATAATGGACGTCTCTGGACCTCTCGTGATTGGGTAGAAATCCAGGCTCTGGGTGGGACTTAATGCCTCAGCAAAGGGTTGCTCAAGGCCGCAGCCTTCCTTCAGAGGCACACCTCTTGCCCATCACCATTGGTAGTTTCGATGCCGGTCAATATCACTCCTTATTTTGATAGGCAAAATTATATGTCTGTCACAGATTCTCCCGTTTCAATTCGCTCCTCTCCTCAGAGAACCGTAGCCAGAGCCCGCCTCATGAACTGACTATGGATTGGTCAGGTCTTCTGTCACTCTTACTCAGTGGGCGGAGTCAGTGGCCTCAGGGGGCGGTGAATTGGTTGACCGGGCTCCGGGGGGGCGGGGCAGCGGCTCCTGTCAGCGGGTGAAATGGCAGCGGCTGAGCCGGTGACGGCTGCGGTCCCCGGGGGCGGCTGAGGGAAAGGGGCCGGGCCGCGGGGTCTGCGGGACCCCCGAACAGGCGCGACCACGGGCGGGGGGATCGGACGACGCAGTGCAGGGACGGCAAGGCTCGGCGCGGCGATGGCGGCGCTCTCCACGCAGGTAGGGAGGCCTCGGGCAGGGCCTCTTCTCCCGGGGGGCGTCAGTGCTGCGGGGCCCCGTGGGGAAGCCGAGCCAGGAGCGTGACCTAGGGTCGCCTCGCCTCCCGAACCCGCGCATGGAGCCTCGGCATTCCCGGCCCTGGACCCTGGAACTCCGGCCTCCGCCCACCCTCGCTCCCGATCCCCCACCCCCAGGGTCACTTCCAGGGCTCCCAGGAACCCATGTTTCTTCCTCGTGGTGCCCCCCACAGGCTCGGGACCCCCGTGCATCCTTCCCAGGGCCCCTACGAGCCTGCCCAGAGCTCCCCATCCCCCAGTCTGTAGGCCTGGCCCCCACTCCAGCGCACCCCTCCAGTCCACAACCCCGCAGGACCCCTCCCATCTGCACATCCCTTGCCTTTCCGTCCCCCTCAACCCCTCGCTTGCGTTCCGCGTCTGCCCTGAACCCTCATCCTCTCCAAGGAGACCGAGCTCAGAGCCCTGTGCTCTCTCCTTGTGACCCAACAGAAACCCATGCCTCGCCTCTTAAATGGGAAGATTCCCAACTGAATCCACAGACATCGGCCCAGCCTGCTCACTTGGCACCCCCCATGTTCAAGGGCACCCCTAAAAAGAATCACTTGTAGGTCTTCTGAGAGGACCAGACACTGTTGCTGATCTGGACCCATCTGGATCCCAGCTTTCTGAGAAAAAAAATTAGCACTAAGGACTTCCCAAAAGATAATGCTGAATCCCATCCATAATAGACACACCCTCCCCACCCATCTTCCTGAGAACCACAGAGTGGGCTCACTTAGATACCCCTGCACATACCCAAACCTACCAGCTCAACACAGACCGAGCACATGAGTGCTCCCCCTCCCTGCTCCCCCCACAACACACACACACACACACACACACACACACACACACACACACCTGCTTAGAACTACACACCTCCTTGAACCGCACAGCCCAGCACCCTCAGCAGGCCTCCTAACTCAGACAAAAGAGAAGATTGTGGGATGATGGCTCTGTCTCAGCAGCTAGCCTGTCCTTTCCACCCCATTCTCTTTGGGCTGGGACCACACTGGTACTCCAGAGGTGTCAGGACCCGGGGTCTGCCTATCACAGATCTCCTCCCTTGCCCCCGTCTCTCCCTGCCTTGCCCTTTTAAATAGGACAGCATTCTCTCCTACACCAGTACCGGGAAAGGAACCAAGGCCCATTCCCAAATATATGGCGCACACACGCCCCGGCCATGGGGAGTGAGGTGTTCAGCTGCTCCTGGCCCCAATCCTAAAGTCTGACCAGAGTGGCGGGCCAGCATCCCTGAGCCTCTGGCGTCTGGTCTCAGATGGTAGAGCCCGTGCTGCCATCCGGCCAGTTCCTTGTGAGTTCTTTGACCAGCCACCAATATGCTTGCTCAAAACCACAGCCTTCTCCTAGCGTTTCTCCCAGCTTGACCAGGTTGGACCTGCCAGAAGCAAACACCTCTTTGTTTAAGGACTATTTTCAGAAAGAGAAAAAATGTGCTGGAGAGGACGGGGTGGGGGGATGTGAAGGAAGGGGTGCTCTGTTTGACACACACACACACACACACACCCCGAGTGCGCCATCCCCAGCCTGTCTGCCACTGAGATCTTTCTTCCATGGTTGTATTGCACTGGTTCTTCTCACCTGTTCTGCCCCACAGTTCCTATCCTGGGGTCCCACCTGTGGGCTCCCTCTGGGTTCCTGCGGCTGACTGAGAGTGGTTTGGAAGGGATCAGATGTGGCTTGGCCCCGGCACAAGAGCTGAGGCAAGACAGAGAGGCCAGAAGACATCACAGCACAGGATGTAGTTTGTAGGACTGCAGGGTGTGGGGAGAATCCAGAACAAACCAGTCCCAACCAAGCATTTAGTATGCTTGGAAAAACTCAGATAAAAAGCCTAGGCCTCTGTGTAGAATGTTTACAAGCAAATTCTGGACAGATAAGGAAGAAAATCTCAGGTTTTTTTTTTTTTGGCTCAGAGCCTCAACTTTTCCACCTGGAAAATGGGGGCATAGGCCCTTAGAATAGTATTCAGTGCTGCCAGGGAGTCAGTGAGGTTAGGGTGTGGCCTTGTGTGTTTCCTGGGAGCAGTGGAAAAGGGAACTGTGGAGGTCACCAGAACAGATCCCATACACAGCTATTGGAGTTGGTAGCATCACTGTCCCTGACGACCCTGTCCTGTGTTCAGTGCATAGTAGCCATATCTGAAAGTCTCAACCATCTTGAAGGAAGCTAGCTTAAATCAGAGCTGGAAAAAAGATGGTCTGTTGTGGGACTTGGGGTTATACAGGGGTCTCCCTGGGACATGGGAAACTATTGACCAGCCGTCCTGATGCCCCACATAGAACCCTGAACATAGAAGTTTGCCACATCCATTTGCTGAAAGCAAGAGTCCCTGAAAATACTTGAAGGTCACATGGCGCATGGAGAACTGCGAGACCTTCTCCCATTCCCCAGAGGACTTTGCACAGATGGACACCGCGGGGTAGAAGGGCTCCCTGGGATAGACTGTGAACTCCGTAGAAAGTGCCTGAAGGCTTCACACTTTTGAGTGGAACCAGAACAGCTTTGCTGCAGCCTGAGGATATGGATCCATTGTTTTTTGTGTCTGAGATTTGATAGGTACTGCTAGATCAGAAACATGTCCCAGTTTCAATAGAATGCAATGTCAGTGTTTGTGGGTGATGCCCCACTGTACCCCAGGGAATTGAGGTGTCCTGTATCTAAGGCTGCACAGCCAGATTGGAGAGAGGGAAAGAGTTGGACCCAGAAGCACACACTGACTGGGCTGATGCCTTGCATTCACAGTGCCAAGAACCATTCATATCATCTCATTTAATCCTCTGAGCAACCCAGCATTCTAGTGTGTGCGTTTGCCATCACACCCTGCTGCGGCAGAAGGGATGCAGGAGACAGAACTGCATACCCTGTGCTGCTCTAAGAGCTATGAGAAAGGACCGATGCATCCCCAGGGCATTCAGGAAGGCGTGGCAGGGGTGACTTATGGATGCAGTCACCAGACAGGCATGGCAGGTTAGGGTGTTCCAGAAGTACTTGGACAGGGTCCCAGGAGGTGGGAACCAGCATGGAAAGGATATGTGACCTCTTCCGGGCATGGATGGATAGGCTTCACCCTTCAGGCCACAATATACCAAATGTAATCCACATGACAGATATACATCATCAGGCACTCATGGACAAAAAGATCCGAATTGGGAAAACTTAGGCAAAGCGCAGACTACATCATCTCCAGGAAAGCCAAAGTCAAGCAGTGGGGTGAGGGAGGTTGTTGAGAGCTTGCATACTTCCCCTGCACCCCCATCCTTTGGAGGGACATAACAGTGCCCTTTTGCCTCCTCTTTAATGTCATTTCTCAGCATGTATCAAGGTACTTGTGAAATCTTGTTTGTAGGTAGTATGGTGGGTGCACGTAGGTGTTTCACATGTGTAAAGGCACATGTGTGTCCATGCACATGTGGAGTACAGGGATCAACCTTGGTTGTCATTCCTCAGTATCTGTCCACCTTGGTTTCTTCTGTTGCTTTGTTTTTTATTATTTGATGTCTATGGTGTTTTACATATCTGGTGTTCATGGAGTCCAGAGGCAGGTGGATCTCTGTGAGTTTGTAAACCAGGCCAGCCTGGTCTACAGAGTGAGTTCCAAGACAGCCAGAGCTACACAGAAAAGCCCTGTCTCAAAAAACAAATAGTAGTAGTAGTAATGTTAAATTTAAAAGAAAAAGGTCTCTCACTGGGCCCCAGGGACCCTTCTGTCTCTGCTTACCTGTCCACCACCATGCCTAGGTTTCTACATGGATGCTAGGGCTCGAACTCAGGTCCTCATGCTTGCACAAAAAGTACTTGACTATCTCCCTGGCCCTATAAAGTAGGGATGTTGAATAGTTGGTTTTTGCCTGTGTATACATATGGTCTACTTCTGTGTTCTCCTGTTCATGGGCACAAGCGTCTGTGAAGATGCACTTGTGTGCATGTCCATGTGGAGGGTGGAGGTTGACACTGTCTTCTTTTATTGCTTTCATCTACTAAGACAGGGTCTCGTGCTGAACCTGTAGCGCTCCAGGTTGTCTGGTCTAGCTAACCAGCTTGCCTAGCGATCCTGCCTCTGTCTCCCAAGTGCTTGAATTACAGATGACTACCATTCTGTCTCTGCTTTTTTAAAAAATAATTTTTATGTGTTTGGCCTTCTTGTTTGTCTGCTATCATGTGCAATGCCTACAGCTAAAACAGGGGTATCAGATCCTCTGAAATTAGAGATATAGACAGTTGTTAGTCTCAAAGTGGGTGCTGGGAACTGAACCTGGGTCCTTGGCAAGAGCAGCCAGTGCTCTTAACCACTGAACCATCTCTCCAGCCCCTCCTGCTCAGCTTTGACCTGCAGTCTGTGAGCCTAAACACTGGTCTTCATACTTGTACAGCAAACACTTTATCCATGGAGCCTTCTTCTCAGAACCCCCATGAAATCTTCTCATAGATATCTGTCTCCCACGTAGTCTGTGAACAAGTCCCATGGGAGGAGGATACCTATTTGTATTTTTCATGGGTGAATCAAGATTCATACATCAGTTTCTCAGTAAGATGTGTTTTATTTTACAAACTGATGGGCTTCCCTTCCTCAGCCATTTCTGTAACAGAAAGATGTCAGATATATCTACCTTGCTAAAGGTAAGACCAATCTCCCTCACCTGGGCCCACCACCAAGCTAAACAAGCCCAGGAAACTGGCACAGATAACAAAGAAATACATCTTCACCTGTGCACCTGCTACAAGAAGCCTTTGTGAAAGGGCTTTGATATTCTTCCTCTGTCATTTTCAGGATTATTAAAATAGAGAATATGTAGAAAGTTGCTCCCAAATGAATCTGTTATGGTGGCAGAAAAGGATACATAAAGAACATAAACTTATTTTTTTAGATCAGATGAGAATTTGTAGGTCATAATAGTCCACCCTTCAGGTTTTCACCTGAAG